AGATCAAAGAAATTCCATATTGAGTGTAGGTATTTGTGCTTTAAGATCACAATTTTCACTATCTCTGCTATGGTGTAGAAAAATATGAATGCTATGAATGTGCATTCAAAGAATGCGACAAAGGAGTCAAATTTGGTCACATAATGATGGAGCTTCAGTATTCTGTAGAAGGAAGATGTAATGATTCCTCCTATTGGTGGTTTCTCAAAAACAAGCCTGTTAAGAAGACATAAAAAAGATCAGTGTTCACCAAGTGATAAGCTGTACTCTAAATTGGCACTATAAAACAAGATATAGCAAGTATAACAAGATATGTTTTAATTATAATACTCATGCACATATTTAGGCCAATATATAATATGGGGCTTAAAATATATTAATGAATCAAAAATACACAGTGTTCCATATATGGCAGAAATTTTCTTCACTAGCTAAGCAAGTATTAGCTTATCAAGAAAGAATTTGCTTCATGGGGCTGATTATTCTTAGTAATACTGTAGTAAATTACTGGTCTTGATGTTCGTTCATTGGAGATTTATTGTACAAAATTTCACACCATCGATGTCACATTATGTAGTCATAATTTGTTTTACCTTGTACTTAATTAAATATTTACTGTATTGAAAAATGTTTCAAATTAAAACAGTAGATCTCAATGATATATATTTTATGTTGTGTACCAATATTTTTCTACAGTGAGCCATTTTTGGAAAACTGGTATAGCATTTTATATGTTTTTCATGTAAAGCAGAAGTTACATCATACTGATGTCAACTTAAATTAAATTATACCAGATATCTGGTGTTAATATGTGGATAGGCATGACCATCCTATTATGCAGTTCATTAAAAGGATGTATAAAATTGTTAATATATTTAAGATATTGAACATAATTAAGACTGTGTTGCACATTATTTATGTGCTCAATTTAAATATGTATTTATATTGACTTGTCCCTCGGTGGACTAGTGGTTAGCGTGCTCGCCACTGGATCCAAGGTTCACAGGTTCAATCCTGGCTGAGGCCGATGAAAATTTAAGGGTGATAGAAATCCATAGCACAACTTCTTTCAGAGGAGAAGAGAAGCCAGTGGTCCCATGTTGGAGATTTAACGCATGTAAACGAACCTTCTGAGCATGATATTAGATGTAAAATAAACAAAATTCAGCAGCCATTTCTCATCCATGTCTCTCCTGAATCACTGCTAGATGGCTCTGGCAGTTAAATCAGGATTGAGTAGAAATTGTGCAGAGGCAATGGGATTGTTACTCACTACTCAAATGCACCTCATAAGACTAATAAGGACAAGTTGCCTTGAGCAAGTGTCCCGGAATGGGCCAAAGCCCCAATTCTTGTAGCAGATAAAGATGATGATGGTGATGATATTGACTTCTAGACTAGTTTCTTTGTTAGCCTATAAACAGCCTATATGTGATTCTTCATGGTGTTTATATTCTCACTCAAATTAACAAAATTACCATTTGTACTGTCTGTGTCATTTAACTTGGCTTGTAGCACAAGTGGGTCCAGGAGGGAGTAAAGTTAGAATGACATGCTTTGTGCATATTCAGATCAGAGTTACTATCCAAAATGGCATTCTTCATTGATGTATGCAGTGTGAGTACCGCACATGGGTATCAATGGAGCAGACCCCAACTTACAAAATGCTTCTTGACTGGTATATTGTTGTCTGATTGCACAGACCAAGCCATATTATTAAGGTGAACCAAAATCACTACTATTAAGAGCAGATGCCAAGTAAAGTGATGCAGACAACATCTGATTTCAGACCATTTATTTCCAGACCTACCTGATTCTCCTGGACTCTCCTGATGGCAAAGTACATTACAGAGAATATATAAATATCTATGATAAAGAGAAGAATTTGAAAGTGAGAACTTACTTCATAGTTAAGAATGCATCAATATTTGCATTATAGACAGTTAAGTCAAGGAAAATTGCACGAGTTCCTCTAGTAACCCAAACATTATTCTTCAGTGTAAGCAATTTCTCAATGGTTTTGCCTCGGTTGAGTGACAGTTCTTCATAATATCCTCCACCACCATATGTTGAGAATTTTCCCCAGTGACTGGAACCACGCAGTTCTTCTTCAGAGGAATAAGTCCAGCTGTAGTTAGAAATAGTAAATCAGTCTGCTTGTTTTAATACCAATATACAAACACAGACATATTAGTTCTGTTCCTGTACATCTGTGTTTAGAGGTATTCAAGAAGGTAAGGATGAAAAAAGAATGGTTCATCCTTGCAAATTGATGATCCTGGAATTAGTGTAAACTGTAACATCTGATAAATGCATATGAGGTGGCAGTAAGGCCGAAGGATATTTTTCTTCTGCATAACCAGTTTCCTACTTTAAATGTTTGTCTGCAAGCTTCAGACGTTTAATGTGAATTGACTAAATAATACACACACTATAGTACATTACTCTTTTGAAGAAGAGTCTTAAAGAAAACAGAAAATTTTGTTGTACTACATGGACATTGAAGGACCGTCTTGTAAAATAAACCAAATTTATCTGCTAAAAACAGTTCCAATTCTCCAAGCACTTTTATAGAGGCAACTCTGTGATATTTACCATATCCTTCATATGATTTCCTATAAACATAAAGGGAATATTTTGAATTACATCAATAAAGTGGTGTGCTGAAAATGTTGATTGAAAACTTACGCTGTTCCGATTCTTGGCCCAAATGGTTCTTTATCTTCTTTTGCAGGAGAATAGAAGTCATAACATGCTTGGAATAATTGCTGGAATTCTTTGTGTACTATGCATGAATCATTTCTCACT